TCATTCTCCTTACTAAGGTCACCTGAATCCAGAAAAGTACTGACCCCATGGAGAAGCCAGTGGGGAAGTGAGGGCCGTGGGAGCAAAGTGCTGGAGAGGCTCGATCTTAGCTCACTTGCAGGCAATGCAGTCTCAGGCTGAGTCTGCAGAGTAGGGTAGCACTGACTGGACATCAACAGGCCACAGACACTGCCTCGGTGATCTTAGAGAAAAATCCTTTTTCTCCCCTTTCGGGCCTCAGTTTCCTCATGTGTGACATGAGATGAGTAAATGAGAGCACCCTAATCGTCCCACTCTGAGCTAACAGTCTCTGGAACTATGGTTCCATGTTTTCCCAAAGACTGCCTCCCTCTTGGATTCACCCTTGAATATTCCTCCTCCTCATTCTCATAGAGCCAGTCCATCAGCAAGTCCTGTCAATTCTAGTTTCAGAGTAGATCATAAATCTACGTCCATGACCATCATGATAATTTCCATCACTATGATTTCCCCGGGCTGGCTATGAGAGCCTCTTGTTTGGTCTCTCCGTTTCCACTCTGGACTCCTCTCTGCTCTAATTCATTTTCCTCATAGCTCCCCAGAGTGGTATTTTAGCACGTAAATCAATCTTTCACTTGCTTAAAACCCTCCAATGGTTTTCCATCACATTTAGAGTAAAACACCAAATTTATACTGTGGCCACAGGGCCCTGAACGATCTGGCCTCTCACTATTCCTCCAATATTATCTCAAACCCCTGTTCTCTTCATTCCCTACAAGCCAGATACACTGGTCTTTCCTCCAGTGCTTGAGAGCACTAAGCTCTTTTTTACCTGAGGGCATCTGCACATGTCTATTGATGCGTCTCGGTTCTATACAAGCCCAACTCCTCGTCACCCAATCAACTCCTCAGAGAAACCTCCTCTGGCACTCTGAGTCAGTCTCCTTTAATTCTGCTTCCTTTATTATCTATTGCAACAGCAGGTTAATTTTATTCATAGTACATCACAATTTATACATTTGCAATTGCTTGATTAATGTCTGTCTTATGCTACTATACTGCCAGCTCCTTGAAGCAAAGGATCCCCCTCCCCGCACTCTATCGTCAATATATTTTCACATCTTCAGCAGCTGGAACCATGTCCTGCATGCCATAGGCAGTTAGTAATATCTGTTAAATAAACGAATGATGTTGGCACAAATAGGGGGGAAAGGTACAGAAAGGAAAGTTGAGAGAACCAAAGGTAAACTGTGTGATGATTTTTGTTCCTCTTTTAATACAATCCTTCTCAAGATGTTCCTTTGTATGAAGAAAAGAACCCAAAATACCAATTAAAAATAGGCCTTTGGGCACAAGAAGGAGGCCTACAAAGTCAGTTCATGGATGGCTTTATAGTTTCACCGTCTCTGGACAACAAATGAAAAACAATTGTAATCTGTGATATCAGCTGAGCTGAATTTTAACTTTCAATGTTAAAATGGGTTACACAAAACCGATTTATCATGTACACATTTCAAAGGGAGTGAGGAGGAGGCTTTAAAGAATTTCAGTAGCATTTGATGGCATAAATCATTTAATGTGATAATTACAGATTATTTTTACCTTTTTTTCATGCTAGTGCAGAAAATATCGACTTTAGGCACAGTGGCCAATGCTGCGGTTCAGCCCCGACATCCATTCCTACCCTTCTACTCTAGGATTGGAAAACCTAAATTCTTGCCTCCCAGCCACCCTTGCCACTAGAAGTAATCATGGGCCACTGCCCTGACCAATGAGATAGAAGCACACAGCTGCTTGAGGTGGAGAGTATTTTGTTAAGCTTTTGTTTTCCTGTTCCAAAGAGATCGAAATAGCTGGCACTTCTTCCCCTTTGCGTGAACATAGACAAAATTTTTGGAAGCTGCCATCTCGGGAACAAGAAGAAGAGGCTGAGAATCACAGAATAGCCAATCCTGATTGCACTGGGGCACAAGCCACTGCCTGCATCACTTTTCTTATAAGGTGAGAAGGATAACCCCCATCTGTTCATATTAATGAGGTCAGGTTTTGTTTGTTACTTCCACACAACCACATTTGGCCACACTTTGTTGGTTTTGGTTATTAGACATTAACTTTGAAGAGACTAGAAAGAGACAAAGCTACTTGTGTATGAGTGCAGATAAGTGTAATTCAGATGGAACTTAGTTCCCCAAATTCTAAATTAGTGAGAGTTTTTGATATATTCTTCAAAGAAGCAGCAAGAACAATTAATTGAAGCTCGTTTGGAAGGATGTTTGATGGGTGTAATCTCCTTAAAAGTACCTTCCACTGCAGCACCAGAGCGTCCAACTTTGTGCTGTACATATCAGAGGCTCATGAAACTTACTGACTTCATCAGGAAATACATAAACAACAACGACAAAAGTTTCTGTTGGTGTTTATTGTCGTCTGCCTGGTCTCTGCCCCTAATCACTCTCTTAGCATCCTTGTCTTTTTGACTGGCCCAAGGTGAGATGAAGTATTTGTCTTTTTAACATATACTTGAATTTCCAAGAAACGCTGTGACAAATATTCTGACTCTTAGGGGGTTTCTATAGGCTCCTAAACTCTGGGATTGGCCAGGGTGGGCTTGATAAGGAAAAGTCTATCGCAAGTGGATAAAACCCCTTATTCTGGCAGCTCACTTCTGTATCTGTCAGACCGTTTCATCCAAAGTCACAAATCCTTTCCCCCAGTTTCTGTGAGGAGGAAGGACCAGATATTGCTGGTCTCTGGAGTGAACCACTGGCTATTTCTGCTTTGTCCATGAACTTCCCTGGAAGAGGGTACTAGGCTTTCATGTCAGGGTGAGCAGTGGCACTGTTTCTTCTAGTCAAGTTTAGTCAAAGTCCAATATATAAATCAATAAAAAAGACAAAAATAGCATCTATTTTATATAGTGCTTCCTCTGTGAAGGTAGGGTACTGTGTTATGGGTTTATATCTATCAATCTCTTAAACTTCACAACAATGCTTGAGGCAGGAACTGTTATTTCCATTTTATCAATGAAAAAACAGAGGCATAGAGTGGAGTTGTTTTATTAAAGTTAGGGAGGAGGGAGGCTGGCCATGTTGCTATTCAGTTTTACCTTCAACTTGGTGTCAGCTCTCAAGATACCCTAAGGGAACCCTCGGAAATCCAGGAAACACAGTTTGAAAGTCCTCTGGCAGCCAGAGGTCACAAACTCAAATACCCTCAGGGGCCAGCTGAGTAGCACAGGAATGAAGGAGGTCAGGTGGGGGCTGGGGTGAACTGGTGATTGCATGGATCTGCTAAAGAGGGTGGCTGCCACTCAATTTGGACAACCATTGCCAAACACTGTACAGATTAAACAAGAACATGTCTGACAGAGGACACAGTTTGGAGACCATGAACCTGCCCACTTATGATGGAAATAATGGAGAAACAACCAGCTTATGGGCCTTTTCTGACATGTGCGTGTTTTGATGAACCTGCATTTTACTGACTAGATAAGAATCATTTCTTCCCACCGTTTATCCACTGGCCTGATTTATTTTTAAGCAAGCCCTTCCCTTGCTTGGTTCTTTCTACTCTTCACCATGTGTTTGCCAGTATTGGCCAAGCATCCAGTCTCACACCTCCTCTTCCACACTTCCCCACCCCTCTGCTGCTGACTGTCTTCTTATTTAAAGAAAAACAAAATCATAATGGTGAACGATGAGACTTCCTAAATTATACAGCAGGCAAAATAAGTCCTGGGGGAAGCTTGTTAGGCAGATTTCACTCCATTGCTGCTTAGAAATATTGGTCATTATTGACACTCAAGTGCAAAATGTAGACAAGTGGTAAAGATGCCCCCAGCACATGTCCATGTCATCTTGATATTTATGCCCTTATGCTCCCAGATCTATCCAAGGAGGCCAAATTCTAAGACATTCCTTCCTGCATGCTTTTGAAATTTAATAACCTACAAGGAAATGCCTACTGGAGAAAGAGTTCATAGACATTAAGTGACTGTAAAGGGAAATAGAGTTAGTGCTTATTTATCAGGTAAATTGGAGGGGATTTGTGGCATGAATATTCTAGAACATAGTCAAAAGTACATAAAGACAGGAGGGTCAGTAAATGTGGGAGTTAGTCTAGATGGGTAGTTTTAAAATTTCTTTTCCCCTCTCTCCTTTCCGTGCCTTTCTTTCTTTCTTAGCTTCAGAATCATTTTTTTTTCAAAAGAAATTATATTCACAAGTTCAAAATATAAAACAGACATAAATAAAGCTACTCTGATTCCAGTAAGGGGCTGAAACCCCACTGATTTGGTTAATCTCAGTGTGTTATTTGGGGCACCTCTGAGAAATCTCATTTTTGAACAACAAGAAACAAATTTATATCACCACTGCCTCTAGATTATTTCTAGGATCTTTCTCAGAACTGAGAAATGGATAACCCTTTTCTCTTTAAGATGAAGAAGGCAAGGTCTACTAGGGTGCAGTGACTCACCTAGGGCCACAGGAAGAGCCCATGTGCTACGGCCAGTACTAGAACCCTCTCACAGCCCAGTGCTCCTTCCACCATGCACAAGTGGTATAGGACGTGGTCTGAATCTCAACTCTACTAGCTGCATAACCTTTCTGTAAAAGGAGATGTAACGGGGATCCCACCTTGCACTTCTGTGAGGACTCAATAAGACAAGTGCAAGCACAGGGCTCAAATCCTTGCTTGGTATATGGTAGGTGCTCAATAAATGTTAGTGTACCACACTGATCCCCCATCCTTTCCCTGTACCTTTCAGCTACAGGCCACTAGAGTCCTGATTATGCCTATTAATCTTGACAGAGCACATTAACCAGACAGCAGATGGAGTTGGCCTAGCCACAGGATGCCTGCAGATAATCCACAGCATGCAATGGGCAGATGACTATAAAGAATAGTTGAAAAACTGAACACGATGAAGTCTGAAAATAATTCCCACCTCTTAACTTTCCAGTATTCTTTTCCAAGAAAAATGTAGCATTGAGCAAAGGGGTTGAGAAGAGCTGACTGACCTGGGAGAAATGTCACATCCTTGCTGCATGAAGGCTCCCAGGGAGAACCACAAGCTGTTGAATATCCCAAACTCATTGGACTGGTCACTGGTTGTCTGGTCCCGTCCTTCCTCAAACTCTTCACTGTGCCATTCATAGGGGCTGAAGCGGCTGACCAGGAAGAGGACGACACTCACTCCAATGTAGGCAAAAACGATGCACATCCAAATCTCATAGGCCAAAGGGTCAAGGAAGGAGAAGACCCCTGGCTTGGACTTCTGTGGTTTTTTAATCATGATGGAGATCCCCAAACTCATAAAAGGCTTGGAGAAATCTATAACCTCTTCCCGGACCAAGGTGATAGTTAAAGGAGCCACAGCCACATCTGCTCTCTGCAAAAAAAAAAAAAAAAAAAAAAAAAAAAAAAAAAGGAAAAAAAAAAGCT